AACCGCTCTCTCGGACCACACCGCTGCTGAGCCCTCCCGAGCTGCGAGTGAGTTCCCGCCGCCCTGCCCTCCCCACCTGAACCCAGCATGACGGCACATGGTATGGAATACCCTGCTCTGTTTGGCCAGGTGGGGTCAGCCTGCCCGGCTGTGTCCCTTCCTGGTTTCCCTTCCTGGATTCTGGTGAAAATTAACCCTGTCCTGGCCAAACCCAGGACAGTGGTGCAGTTGACACACCAGAAGGATGGGATGACATCCAGAGGGACCAGGACATGCTTGAGAAGTGGGCCTGTGTGAACCTTGTGAGGTTCAACAAGGCCAAGTGCAAGGTCCTGTACCCGGGTCAGGACAACTCCTGCTATCAATACAGGCTGGGGGATGAAGGGATTGAGAGCAGCCCTGTTGAGAAGGACTTGGGAGTACTGGTGGATGCAAATGTGGATGTGAGCCACCAATGTGTGCTCGCAGCCCAGAAGACCAACCGTATTCTGGTCTGCATCAAGAGAAGCTTGGCCAGCAGGTCAAGGGAGGTGGTTGTGCCTCTCTGCTCTTTTCTGGTGAGACTTCACCTGGAGTCCTGCATCCAGCTCTGGAGCCCTCAACACAAGAAGGACACGGAGCTGTTGGAGCAGGTCCAGAGGGTGACAAAAATGATCAGAGTGCTGGAACACCTGTCCTATGAGGAAAAGCTGAGAGATTTGGGGTTGTCCAGCCTGGAGAAGAGAAAGCTGCAGGGACACTTGATTGTGGCCTTTCAGTACTTAAAGGCAGTCTATAGGAAAGACGGGAACAATCTTTTTAGTAAGGCCTGTTGTGACAGGACAAGGAGTAATGGTTTTAAAGTAAGGGAGGGTAGATTTAGACTGGATATAAGGAAGAAATTTTTTACCATGAGGGTGGTGAAGCAGTGGAATGGGTTGCCTGGAGAGGTAGTGGAGGCCCCATCCCTGGAAACTTTCAAGGTCAGGTTGAATGGGGCTTTGAGCAAGCTGGTCTGGTTGAAGATGTCCTTGCTCACTGCAGGGGGGTTGTTCTAGATGACCTCTGAAGGTCTCTTCCAACCCAAAGCTTTCTCTGTTTCTAAATAAAAGCTATCACAACTGTGTGTCTATGAAAATGGAAATATTTCATACTGTTTTTTTTTTTTTTAAATAGCTAGTCATGCTGTTTTTTCACTATGATAACAAAAGAAGAAAGAAAAGGTGAACTGTTGCTAGAGTGTACATAATTCGGTGTATAAAAATAATCCGTGTGGGTTGCATGATTCAGGAAAGTATCTTTATTCTGTACCATCTGGAAAGAAAAAAAGGAGACAATAAAAAAGTTGCAAATAGTGTCTTGTGTACCCAAGGATTTTTTTTGGGGGGGAAGAATGCCAAGCCATGATACGTTGAAAAGAGCCTGACATGCAGCGTGGAGACTCTTTTGGATTGCACCATTGTAGCTGCTTTATTGTGGGTAGAAGTGCTCTTCAACCTTTTAAAACAGGAGCTGTATAACTAATTCTCTAGACAAATCAGCTTTCCACGTGGAGTACAGTTTAGAGGTCTTAGATCAGTCTCTTTACTGTCCTCTGGCTTTTGGTTGGGTTTTATTTTCTTTGGGGGGGCGGTGGTGGGGTGGTGGGTGTGTGTACTAAATCTTCCTTAAGTTATGCTGTGCGGAAGTAGATTGAGCATTACAGTCCAGGGCTTCTCCACTGCTAATTAGAAAATAAGTTGTTATTACTTATGGTTTCTGTTTCTCTAAGTGGAAATCCTTTTATTTGTAAATAGGATTTGGTGGAGCTACATCGGGCAGCGTAAGACTGTATTTCAGGTTACAAGTAAGGCACGAGAGACTTTTTGTTTTCTACAACTGTGCTACATTTTTATAGATTTAACAAGACATGTGTCTTCATTTCCCACACTTCTGGAGAATTAATTTCTCAAAACTGTATTATTTCAGAGTGATAGATGTCTCACAGTATTTCTTAATTCAAGAGGTAAACTTTTAATTGTATTTCTGAGCCTTTATGAAATCAAAGGCTGTAGCTCTGAGGCTGAAGTTCTGTAATTAGCTATTTCCTATAACCTGGATAATTATGGTGCTTGTATGTTTTGCCCTTAGCTTTTACTTTTTAACATCTTTTTGTAGATTATGAATTCAGAAAGTGTCACCAAATGTAACTCGTTTGCTCCACAGGACCGAGCCCAGAATCTTAATGAGCGCAGGACAAGTTCAACCACCCTGACAGTAGATGTGCTCGATGGTGACGATTTAGGACCAATGTTTCTTCCTTGTGTCTTGGTGAATAATACTCGTGACTGTAGACCTCTCACCTACCAAGCGAGCTTGCCAGAACTGACTGATCCTGTAAGTCCTCTTGATATTTTTTTTTTTTGCAAGTTTTATATGTTTGTTTTCAAGCAACTATCATCTTTCTCTGTGGACTTAATTGAGGACTGTAACTAGAAAGGTTACGTATGCTAAACAACACAAAGCCAAGGTAAGATATATGTAGGAAGAGACAGTGAAATTCTAGCTTTGATACAGTGGCAAACTGCGCATTCACTACAGGAGTTGAGTCTCACTGAAATTCAGTGAATTGTCAAATTGCTTTTCCTGATCTGTCCGTGTTTGTCTTTCAAAATATCCTGAAGAAGCACTTTTAGAAGGAACTTGACATGTTATTCCATTCAGGATTGCTACAGAACTTCCGAGAAAGATTTTTTTGGAAGAGGAAGCATTAGTCACTAGTCCTTGAAAAAATTATTTGTTGTTATCTGGTTTCAATGAAGAGGCTCTAAAGAGCAATGTATGTTTTTTCCCATGTACATGCTTGTACTAAGTATATCGGTTAACACATCTGTTAGGATAGGGATAAAGGTCAGCGTCAGGCTCATTTCACACTGGAACGTGCATAATGAATCACAAAAAGTGGAAGGTGAAAGCATGATCATGATGCAAGATGGTGCCAGCTCCCCTTCCTTACAGGGCAACTGCTGCTTGTTGTAATGGACATGTGTGTCTCTGTGGTGGGTGAAACAAAAAAATGGATTTCTTAATTAATACTGATATATGACCTTTGATTCATGTATCTAAGAATATAAAAAGAAAGATCCAATTGAATCACTAGATACTGCCCCACCCGATTGACAATGACATGAAGATGACATTAAGATAAAACCGCTCTCTCGGACCACACCGCTGCTGAGCCCTCCCGAGCTGCGAGTGAGTTCCCGCCGCCCTGCCCTCCCCACCTGAACCCAGCATGACGGCACATGGTATGGAATACCCTGCTCTGTTTGGCCAGGTGGGGTCAGCCTGCCCGGCTGTGTCCCTTCCTGGTTTCCCTTCCTGGATTCTGGTGAAAATTAACCCTGTCCTGGCCAAACCCAGGACAGTGGTGCAGTTGACACACCAGAAGGATGGGATGACATCCAGAGGGACCAGGACATGCTTGAGAAGTGGGCCTGTGTGAACCTTGTGAGGTTCAACAAGGCCAAGTGCAAGGTCCTGTACCCGGGTCAGGACAACTCCTGCTATCAATACAGGCTGGGGGATGAAGGGATTGAGAGCAGCCCTGTTGAGAAGGACTTGGGAGTACTGGTGGATGCAAATGTGGATGTGAGCCACCAATGTGTGCTCGCAGCCCAGAAGACCAACCGTATTCTGGTCTGCATCAAGAGAAGCTTGGCCAGCAGGTCAAGGGAGGTGGTTGTGCCTCTCTGCTCTTTTCTGGTGAGACTTCACCTGGAGTCCTGCATCCAGCTCTGGAGCCCTCAACACAAGAAGGACACGGAGCTGTTGGAGCAGGTCCAGAGGGTGACAAAAATGATCAGAGTGCTGGAACACCTGTCCTATGAGGAAAAGCTGAGAGATTTGGGGTTGTCCAGGCTGGAGAAGAGAAAGCTGCAGGGACACTTGATTGTGGCCTTTCAGTACTTAAAGGCAGTCTATAGGAAAGACGGGAACAATCTTTTTAGTAAGGCCTGTTGTGACAGGACAAGGAGTAATGGTTTTAAAGTAAGGGAGGGTAGATTTAGACTGGATATAAGGAAGAAATTTTTTACCATGAGGGTGGTGAAGCAGTGGAATGGGTTGCCTGGAGAGGTAGTGGAGGCCCCATCCCTGGAAACTTTCAAGGTCAGGTTGAATGGGGCTTTGAGCAAGCTGGTCTGGTTGAAGATGTCCTTGCTCACTGCAGGGGGGTTGTTCTAGATGACCTCTGAAGGTCTCTTCCAACCCAAAGCTTTCTCTGTTTCTAAATAAAAGCTATCACAACTGTGTGTCTATGAAAATGGAAATATTTCATACTGTTTTTTTTTTTTTTAAATAGCTAGTCATGCTGTTTTTTCACTATGATAACAAAAGAAGAAAGAAAAGGTGAACTGTTGCTAGAGTGTACATAATTCGGTGTATAAAAATAATCCGTGTGGGTTGCATGATTCAGGAAAGTATCTTTATTCTGTACCATCTGGAAAGAAAAAAAGGAGACAATAAAAAAGTTGCAAATAGTGTCTTGTGTACCCAAGGATTTTTTTTGAGGGGGAAGAATGCCAAGCCATGATACGTTGAAAAGAGCCTGACATGCAGCGTGGAGACTCTTTTGGATTGCACCATTGTAGCTGCTTTATTGTGGGTAGAAGTGCTCTTCAACCTTTTAAAACAGGAGCTGTATAACTAATTCTCTAGACAAATCAGCTTTCCACGTGGAGTACAGTTTAGAGGTCTTAGATCAGTCTCTTTACTGTCCTCTGGCTTTTGGTTGGGTTTTATTTTCTTTGGGGGGGCGGTGGTGGGGTGGTGGGTGTGTGTACTAAATCTTCCTTAAGTTATGCTGTGCGGAAGTAGATTGAGCATTACAGTCCAGGGCTTCTCCACTGCTAATTAGAAAATAAGTTGTTATTACTTATGGTTTCTGTTTCTCTAAGTGGAAATCCTTTTATTTGTAAATAGGATTTGGTGGAGCTACATCGGGCAGCGTAAGACTGTATTTCAGGTTACAAGTAAGGCACGAGAGACTTTTTGTTTTCTACAACTGTGCTACATTTTTATAGATTTAACAAGACATGTGTCTTCATTTCCCACACTTCTGGAGAATTAATTTCTCAAAACTGTATTATTTCAGAGTGATAGATGTCTCACAGTATTTCTTAATTCAAGAGGTAAACTTTTAATTGTATTTCTGAGCCTTTATGAAATCAAAGGCTGTAGCTCTGAGGCTGAAGTTCTGTAATTAGCTATTTCCTATAACCTGGATAATTATGGTGCTTGTATGTTTTGCCCTTAGCTTTTACTTTTTAACATCTTTTTGTAGATTATGAATTCAGAAAGTGTCACCAAATGTAACTCGTTTGCTCCACAGGACCGAGCCCAGAATCTTAATGAGCGCAGGACAAGTTCAACCACCCTGACAGTAGATGTGCTCGATGGTGACGATTTAGGACCAATGTTTCTTCCTTGTGTCTTGGTGAATAATACTCGTGACTGTAGACCTCTCACCTACCAAGCGAGCTTGCCAGAACTGACTGATCCTGTAAGTCCTCTTGATATTTTTTTTTTTTGCAAGTTTTATATGTTTGTTTTCAAGCAACTATCATCTTTCTCTGTGGACTTAATTGAGGACTGTAACTAGAAAGGTTACGTATGCTAAACAACACAAAGCCAAGGTAAGATATATGTAGGAAGAGACAGTGAAATTCTAGCTTTGATACAGTGGCAAACTGCGCATTCACTACAGGAGTTGAGTCTCACTGAAATTCAGTGAATTGTCAAATTGCTTTTCCTGATCTGTCCGTGTTTGTCTTTCAAAATATCCTGAAGAAGCACTTTTAGAAGGAACTTGACATGTTATTCCATTCAGGATTGCTACAGAACTTCCGAGAAAGATTTTTTTGGAAGAGGAAGCATTAGTCACTAGTCCTTGAAAAAATTATTTGTTGTTATCTGGTTTCAATGAAGAGGCTCTAAAGAGCAATGTATGTTTTTTCCCATGTACATGCTTGTACTAAGTATATCGGTTAACACATCTGTTAGGATAGGGATAAAGGTCAGCGTCAGGCTCATTTCACACTGGAACGTGCATAATGAATCACAAAAAGTGGAAGGTGAAAGCATGATCATGATGCAAGATGGTGCCAGCTCCCCTTCCTTACAGGGCAACTGCTGCTTGTTGTAATGGACATGTGTGTCTCTGTGGTGGGTGAAACAAAAAAATGGATTTCTTAATTAATACTGATATATGACCTTTGATTCATGTATCTAAGAATATAAAAAGAAAGATCCAATTGAATCACTAGATACTGCCCCACCCGATTGACAATGACATGAAGATGACATTAAGATAACATTGAGTATTGACATTAAGATCACGACTTGCCTTGTCCATTGCAGGACATGCTCTCTGTTCTGCTTTCTCTGACCAGGAGACGGGGGAGGTTTGAGGCTGCAAGTGGAGGTTCCTGCTGTTCTCTGCCTTATTTATCTTGCCGTCCTATGCCTTGTAGTCTTTTGCCAACCCACATGTTATGGTTTCCTGCTTTGTCTGGCCTCAGGGGTGCTGCTGCAAATATGCTTGGGCAGGGTCACCAAGCACTGCCGCCACCCTGCTTCATTGATTCAGATGATGCTCTTAGAGAGTTTCAAAATCTCTCTCAGTTGTTTTATCCATTTTAGGCAGCTGAAATTGAGTCTAATGTATGGCAGTTGATCAATTGCTCCTGCACAGGTTAACAGTACAGGCTCTGGTTTAATAACCAGTACAATCTCAAGGAGGTGACGTAAGGCTTGTTGTAATCAAGATGTGTGATTAGTGTGCCATCTGGATAAGGGAGGGCTAGAACAAGTTTAAGGGAGGTGGTATAACTCAGTCTGGACCCCTGGGTAAACTCTGAGGAGAATATTGGGTCTAACAGGGCACATGCACCTCCAAAGGAGGTGATTTCTCTCTACTGGAGGATCTTTTCTTAACAACTGCAGCCTGATTTGTAAGGTGTAGCGAGACTGGAGCCTTGATATTCAGCTTGTAACGGAGGCAGGTCAGTTGTGAAAGGGAAGGGGAGAGAGATTCCCTATTTAACCTTATTACATTGATTTACACATATCTTTTCTTTTTTTTTCCCCTCCCTCTCCACTTTTACACCTTGGTATTTGATAATCCTTTGTAACTGTGATATCTGTTTTGGACTTTGTGAATAAACCCATTTACTTTAAATTTTACATTGATTTGCCTGGGTCTTAGTGTTATTTTAAGGTAACTGGGCAACCACAAGTTATTCTTCAGCTGAGTATGTGGCCTCAGCAGGGTTACTGGTATACCCAAACTGTGGAGGATGACAGAATATGACCCCATTTTATCTGCACGGATCTGA